TTGCACCATTGTGGAAGGTAGGTTTTGTCCTGGGTGTCTTCACTTTATTCGTGGTACACAGTGATGGTCAGTGTATACAATGGGTTTGAGTACTTCTTGCAGATCTGGTCTTACCATGGCAAATTTCCTCAATGTTTTCTCATCAGTAAAAGATTTGATTTCTCTGTCAAATATGAAACTTATTTAGCAGGATATAGAATCTTGGGCTGAATGTTGGCTTGTTTAAGGCTAATAACAGATGACCATTCTCTTCTGGCTTATAAAGTTGTGGCTGAAAAGTCTGCTGTCAACCTGATCTTTTCCCCCTTGTAGGTAAGAAGTTGCTTATGCCTGGCTGCTTTGAGAATTTTCTCTTTTATTTTGACTTTCCCCAAGTTAATTACAATGTGTCTAGGAGATGCTTTGCTTGAATTAGGTCATTCTGAGGTTCTGTAATTACCTAGTATCTGTATTTCTGGGTCTCTTGCCATGCTTGGGGACTTATCCATCATGATGTCTTAAACTAGAGCTTCATACTTTTAGGATGTTTTCCCCCTTCTGAGATCCCTGTGATTTGTATATTTGGGCACTTTGTGTAGCCCCATATCTCTCTAAGCGATTACTCTGCTTTTGCTCTCTACTTCCTCTTTGAATGATTGGTCTAGTTCAAAATTCTTGTCTTTGATTTATGAGATTCTTTGTTCACTGTGTTTTACTCTATTTCTGAGACTATCTATTGTGTTTTGAAACTCCTTGAATGCCTCTTTCAATTCCTTAAGGTCTGTTTTATCCCTCCTAATTATCTCCTGGTTACTTTGTCTTTAATTTCATTGTTTTCTTGAGACTATTTTTGAATTTTTTTTTTATTTCCATTACCATCTTCTCTTCAATTCCATTCATCTTATTTGCCATCTATATTCCGAATTCTGTTTTTTGTTTTTCGCTTGTTTGGGACAGAGTCTCACTCTGTCAACCTGGGTAGAGCGCCACAGTGTTATAGCTCACAGCACCCTCATACTCTTGGGCTCAAGCAATCCTCCTAAGTAGCTGGAAGTTTAAATGCCTGCCCCAACACCTGGCTAGTTTTTTTTGTTTTGTTTTTTTGGTAGAGACAGAATCTGACTTTATTGCCCTCAGTAGAGTGCCATGGCATCACATAGCTCACGACAACCTCCAACTCCTGGGCTTAGGCAATTCTCTTGCCTCAGCCTCCCGAGTAGCTGGGACCACAGATACCCACCACAATGCCCAGCTATTTTTGTTGTTGTTGTTGCAGTTTGGCTGGGGCCAGGTTTGAACCCACCACCCTCAGTATACGGGGCTGGTGTCCTACTCACTGAGCCACAGGCACCATCCAGTTTTTCCATTTTTTAATACATATAGGTTCTCACTCTTTCTCAGGCTTGTCTCTAACTCCTGAGCTCAGGCAATACACCCTCCTCAGCCTCCCAGAGTGGTAGGATTACAAGCATGAGCCAGCACACTCAGTCTCTGAATTCTATTTCTATCATTTCAACAATTTCTGTATGGATGGTATTTTCAATGGTATCTTCCTTGTAATCTGCTAGAGGAGTTGATCTCCTCTGAATTTTTATGTTTCCAGGGTTTGACTGCTTCTTGCCTACACGTGTTTTCAATTTATTTATCTATTTTTTTTTAATTTTTAAGATAGAATATTAGGGTGTCCCTAAAGTGTTCTTGTCAGATATTATAGTTGGGATTCTGTAGGCAGCTCCCAGGAAACAGTTGGGCCCTAGAAGATGGAGCCGGGGCTAACTGTGTGGTGTACCTATATACCTAAGCAATACTGCTGTTGAACTGGCTCTGGGGATTTTGGGATGTTGAGTCAGGTAGGCTGGTGTCAGCACTAGCTTCCCCAAAGCACAAAGCTCTCCACACCTCTTCTAGGACTTTCCGGTGCCACACGGCAGCTCCTCATTCTTCCTGTGGGTATCAGGGCCATTTGGCTGCCTGTATTAGGACTAATTGAATGTCTAATCTGAAGGGCTGATGCCAAGTTTAGAGGCCCCAGGGTGTAAAGCTCCACTGAAGTTTTATAAGATTAAGAGGAAAAAAAGATATTATAAGCTTCCAGAGAGGAAAATAATGAGTCACATTCAAAAGCTCAGGAATCAGAATAACTTTGGACTTCTCAATAGCAATACTGAAAACTAGAAGAGCATTGAGCAATGATTCCAAACTAAAAAAAAAAAAAAAAAAAAAAAATTACAACCTAAAATGCTTTAGCTAGCCAAATGACTGATTAAATACAAGTATAAAAAAGACATTTTCATACATGCGAGTTTTAAAGAATTTATCTTCCACACGCCTTTTCAGAAGAAACTAGCAAAGGAAACATGCCACTGAAATGAAACACTAAGCCATAAAAAGAAAGGACATGGGATTTAGGAAATATGAGATTCAAAACAGAAGTGAATGAAGTCTAGGAAGATAATAAAGAGAAATACCAGGGTAGTGGTTTTACAACAGATGCTCAAGGTAATCATTATAGATTAGAACAGTATAACCAAACCAGACAGGCAGACATGTTAAAGGCTAGCATCTACAAGATCCCCCCTATCATTGCCCCATCTTTCCTTTTACACTAAGATCAGAATGTCCAGGTGAGCCCGGATCAGATGGTCTATACTTGGCTGGTCTTGACCACATGGTGCTGCAGCTCCTGCACACCCCTCCTAAAAGCACCTTGCCTGGAGTTGAGTGTGGGCATGCATTTCACTTGCCAGAAGTTACTTGTTATGATCCATTATTGAGGGTGTGGCTGGTCACAGGAAGATGAGAAACAAAGAGGTAGAGCAGCACACTCCCTATCAAACTACATGGTTATAAGACAACTAATTTCTGGTGTGCAGAATAGCCCTGCTGGTCCCCTGACTGTGCTGGACCATGGGTTTATTTCCCTAGACTCACTCATAACCTTACTCCGACTTCCTCAAAAGCAGCACTTATAAACCTGTAGGGAAACCAAAGCCAGAGTATAACCAAGAGATTCTCTTCAGCTTATCCTCTCCTGCTACTATTCACCTAATCATACCAACTTTACCCCTTCTGTAACCATCTAGGTGTGTGCTTGTCATGTAAGATTTCAAAATAAAACAATATATTACTTAGGTAAACTATAATGAAAACAAAGAAATGGATAACACAAAAGTCAGAGTAGATACTACTTGTGGTGATAAGGAAGGAAAATGCAACTAGGAGGGGCACGTGTGTGGCTTCTTAGGTATTGGTAATATTTTATTTCTTAAAATACATAGTGTTTTATTATTCTTTATAATGTGCATACAAACTCAATATCCTGTTGTAGACATAACATTTGACAATAATTCAATATATTTATTTATTTT